ACCCTGTGCAGTCTTCAAGTTGCTTATGGCAGTTAGTCAGCTATTGTGTCTGGATTCATGCTTTCGCTCTCCATGCTGCTCCTGTTGAGAGGCTGCAAGCTTTGGTTCCTTTTTGTAATTCGGTCCCAGGGCAGGTTTTTGTCAACAGGTGCACCAGAGGGACACAGGAAGGAAGAGGAGGGAAAGAGACTGATCCTGCCTGTGAGCTAGATGCCCCAGTCGACTTACTGCACCAAGGGCTCTTTGCCATGGCAGCAGCAATACGTTTAGTCCTTAGGATCTGTGTCCTCAATGAATCAGCCTCATCGTTCCTGAGCATAGTTCCAGCACTAATGAACTGTCTTTCTTCCTTGAGGGGCTCTGGTTGCTGAGACTTCCACCCTGTCCCTGGGCTTCCAGACTAAGGGATGATGCTGATTCCTGTAGCTGTCGTGAATATTCACACACTATCTCAGTCTCTAAAAGCTCTGCTGTGCTTTTCTGTCTGCAGTAGTCTTACTTTTCAGACCTAAATTGAAGTTTAACTGATGTATTGCTCACTCATCAAAAATGGAGGCTTTGAAATGCTTGATTCTGCGATGTTCATGATAGTAAAATTATACTATTCATATGCCTTAAAATTCAGTTTTAGAAATGAAAATGGTAGTTCAGAAAACCTAAGTAAGGCAGGCATGGTGGTGTCTGCCTTTATTCGTTTATTCCTAGCACTCAATAGGCAGAGGCAGGCAGATCTATGTGAGTTCGAAACTAGCCTGCTTCACATAGTGAGTTCTACTATGACCCTGCCCCCAAACAAACAAACAGACAAACAGAAAACCTAAGTAGAGTTTGGAGGCTTTAATCATGTATCAGTGAGACCAAAAGATCTCAGAAGTGAGTTATTTGTTCTCATTCTGTTTCCGTTATCAATAAACAATGAGTTTATGTTCACTTTAGTTTTGTCCAAAGATATTTATAAAATATGATTCGTATGTCATTGATTTCCCTGCGTATATACAGTTTCACCTATTCTTTGCCTATTCCATTTCTGTAACTAGGACAGGCACTTGCATGGCACACATCCTCTGAGTTACTATCTCTCTCCTCTTCCCAGTCACTGACTAATAGATCTCACTTTTCCTGACCAGGAACTGATTTACAAGCTCCATGATCGTCAATCCGATTGTTCAGGAAGCAGTTCATATGTCCAAACAAACTCCTGATTCAATTCAGTCCTGAACTGCAAACTTCTTTGTTTTAGAGTTCACATAAATCTAAACTTCTTTGTCATCAAAACTCAATCTTCAAGATGGTCTCCAAGAACTTCAGGACTTCTGAAAGTCTTATGTCAAATACTATGTAAGTAATTACCTTTTAATAAAGTATGCAATAGTTTAGGCCCAGAAAAGGAAACAGAAATTGTCTTAGGTAGTTCCATAGAGGGATTCTGAACTGTGGCATCAACTAGAAAGATTGAACTAATAAAAAGGGACATAAGGAATGGTAAGACAACCTTAGGTATGGCAACATCCAGAAACGCTCATACTTTGCAGGCGCAGGGGACACACAGAAGAGACAGGGGCCACTAAAGAGGTTCTGGAGACACCATTCAGGTAGAGGAAGGGGAAGCATCCCAGCTTGGTGTCTCTACCTGTCCTCTAAGCTTCTACAAATGCATCCCATGTTCCAGTGGAGGCCCAAAGGTCAGAGAGTCTAGACATGTCATTATTAGGAGTCCATTGTGTGCCGAAGAATAGAGCAGAGAAGGTCCAGCAATGGTTTCCAAACGAGACTTGTTTGACTTTAGTTTCATCCTTGTGAAGTTGAGTCCTGGGACACCACAAGGGCATGGTTTCAGGATGTTTCCTGTCTGGAGAGTAAGTCAGAGAAGAGTGTGACTCTTTGGACAACAGCCTCAGGGTCTCTTGACATTTTAATCATTCGAAACAAAGAAACTTGCCCTTGTTTATTCAGCACAGAGTACGGCCGGGATTCTCTTGGTAGGAAAGGTAATAAGGAATGAATTACATTAATTTCTACCCCATGTGGGTGAGTATATCATAGACACCAACAAAAGTCAGTGTTGGTGAAGAAATGTGATGTCAAAACCTGACCATCTGTAAGGAAAGGAATTGCAGGGCCCACATTGCAAAACTCCGGAACAAGATGTTTATATTATTTTCTCAATTTGGATGGGGCAGAAGTGAACCAAGTCCCAGATTCTCACATGAACTCAGAGTAGTTTCTATACAATGTTGGGGCTTTATTTGAAATGGAAATACTACTTAATTAGTCTATATGAACTAATAATACTATAGGAGTTCATGGTGGACACAGGGTTGATCGTTGCGATAATCAAGATCAGAGCTGGATTACAGGTCTTAATCTCTGCTATCCTGAAGACTTTTATCCCCTGAGGTCTCTTCCAAGTATTGACAGGACTCTGCATGCATGGGAAGGAAATAGAGCCAAAAGACCCAGAAAGGTATGCACAGAGCTAGAATAATATTTCTGTAGCTTTGTAGTACCCCCTTGTGGAAAAAAAAAAACACCTAAAATGAAACCAAACTGTATTTGCAGACTGTGAAAATAGACTACAACCTCAAAATTAAATTTTTATTTTTTCTTTTAAACCTTGAACTTTTGTACACACACACACACACACACACACACACACACACCATGAATTTTGGTCATTTCACTCTCCATTCCTCTCTCATCACCCTATAGCAACAATCTTCTTCTTACCAACAAGAGCCCCCTCCTAACTTCACGTCTTCATTTAGTGTGTGATCCAGGGGGTTTAATAAGAGTTGCATGCATGCGCATAGTCATTTGGAAGGTTATATACTAGACCATGAGAAACTTATCAGTACGACATTCCTGAAGAAAACAACTCCTCAGCAATTCATATTTAATGAAATATGAAGGTAATGTGTAGAAGCAGTATAATATTAGAATCAGAGTCATGTAGGTATTGGTAAAGATGGTTATACTTCCATGTAACTGCTTTCTTTCTCTTTCTTACGTATTAATTTGTGATGAACATTGAAGTATATGCATTTAAGAGTTTAGCATAGGACCTGGCACAGGAAGTGTGAAATGACACATCCATTTCCAAGTGCAAAAGGCCATACAAACAAAATAACTTAAAGTGCCCTTTTCATTCAGTACTATTTCTCACTCCTTGAGGGAGGTTCTTTTCTCATTTTCTGGCCGTAAAATAATGTCTCCTTTCTCACAGTACTACCATGTATATTTTGATGTTTGCTCTCCTGGAAGCCCGGGGGTACGGTGTCCATCTTTCTTTTGGTAGTCCTTTCATGGATCACAGACTCTGTCCATCAATGAGAAGAACATCCTACTTACCTAGTCATGTCTGCATTGGTTTCCTCTCCTTTCTGAGATCAATTTACACCCAGAACAGTCTTAGTTGTATGCTGGTCACTGAGCAGATCAAATAGACACCTTAGTATTCATTTGACTCCAAATCCACAGGACACAACCATCTTACATAATTGAGACAAGTCAAGAATTCTAGGCAGGCTGGACAAGGGGATTCCTACTTTCACAGAGGCTGGGGATCCTATGCAAGAGGTAGGGGGATTAGTCTTAAAGGTACCAGGCTATTTCATTTGTGAGTTGTCAATAAAATTGTCCTAGTGGGTACCGTGGGCCCAAGAGCTAGCATGTAGCCTTCTCATCATGGAGTAGATGGGAAGTCCACCTACTTCTTGGCAGTCTTTCATTTATTAAAAAATTATTTATTAGCCGGGCGGTGGTGGCGCACGCCTTTAATCCCAGCACTCGGGAGGCAGAGGCAGGCGGATCTCTGTGAGTTCGAGACCAGCCTGGTCTACAAGAGCTAGTTCCAGGACAGGCTCCAAAACCACAGAGAAACTCTGTCTCGAAAAACCAAAAAAAAAAAAAGAAAAAAATTATTTATTTATTTTTATGATATGTGTAAGAAGTCTTTGCCTGAACATATTTATATGTATGTCTGGGGCTCGCAGCGGCCAGAGAGGGTGTCAGATCCCCTGGCAACTGTAGCTATGGATGGTTAAGAGCTGCTCTGTGGGTGCTGGAAGCTGAGCCCAGGTCCTCTGTGAGAAGAGAAAGTGTCCTTAGCTGCTCAGCTCCAAGTCTTAGATTTCTTATGTGATTGCAGACGGCTTCGAGAGCAGGAGCTCCAGAGAAGGTCAAAATCCCAAAGCCTTTTTTGACTCTGATGCAGAAGTCACAAACTGTCACTTCCATTATAACCTGTTGACCAAAACAGTCATAAATCTGCCCAGACTGGAGGGCAGAGGCAGAAGAACATTTAGATGGAAGGAGTGTGGAAGAGCATGTGACCAAAATAGAACCCTGCTCCAGTCTGTGTCTTCTTTTAATCATGCCTGCCTAGGCAGGGCCTAGGACTTTGATCATTGCTTTTCAGAGAATATATTAAGCCCAGACTCTTAACCTCTGATTATTGACGAGTTGAAGTGAATCATGTGTTTTGGTGGCAGACAAGAAACATCTAAAGTCACACTATAGAGTAGAAAAAAAGAGATTAGGTATTTGAGGTTACCCACCAGAAGGGATCTCATAACATCCAGCAAATCTCAAATGACGTTGATAAACACAAGAAGGGATTTGGGGTGGCCTTTTGAAACATTTTCCTTCCCTTCTCATCTTAGGTTGTGTGTCAGCCTACCTTCCCCTTGTAAGGACAGGTTCAATGGGGAAGGCCATGCTTTGGCAGAGGAGGTTTGTGACTCTCTGTGTCTGGAAGACGGAAAATATGCTGCAAAGACATTTTACTTCTGCTTCCTTGGAGGAAGGGACAGAGGATCAAAATCACTACCGTGTAAACATAGGCTTATCATTGTCTGTGGAAACCATTTTATATTCTAGTTAAGATGATGGCTTCAAAGCCTAGGTATTTGGAATATGAATTATAACACTTAGAACTTTAATTCACCGGTAGGCCACCATGATTGCTCAGTTGATGGGACGACATGAGGCAATATCCACACACTCAACACCTGCTGACAGCTTTGTTTATTATTTACTCGATTACTTTGCTTCTCATAATCGTACAGTAATTCTCTTAAACAACACTGTTATAGTTGAAGTTGGTCACATTGTACCATCTCTTCCTTCTACAGTAGTGTAGTGTTTTTCACACTTAACTTTTTAATAGAACATTTGAATATCAAGGAGTGCAGTTACATAAAAATAACGAATGGACCAAACTTCAAGAGAAACAATTGCACACTCAGTTAAGGTTCTGATGCTATACAGTGGTTTGTGTGCATTCAAGAGGAAACAATAGCGGTCCCAGTTTGACAAGGAACTGGAGGCATTTAGGTGGATGGAAGTGGCTCCCTTAAGACCTGTTTGGCAGCTTGGAAATGAGGTTTAATACTGGCTCAATTGCATTAGCTTTTCTAGAGAGTTCCTCCAGGCAAGAACTGAGAATGACTGGCAGTGTGTAATCCTTATCTTTTTGAAGGCAAAAGTCCTCCAGTCACATCTATAACCATCTCAAGACTACCCCTAACCCATTCATGTTGAACTTTTAAACTCAAAATTACATTGCACCAGTCATAGGAGTTGAGTACGTAGTGTTTGGGAGTGAGGGTGTGTATACCTGGTCATACATTTGAAGAGAGGAGAACATAAGAGCAGACTGAAAGAATAGGCAGTCAAGGGTAAGCGAGGGAGGAGAAAGAGAGAGATGATAATGGATTCATGTAGGAGGTGGAAGGGCTTTGGAGAGAAGAGCATAAGGATAAAAGAGAGGAGGAAGGTATGTCTGGAGTAAAACAGAATGGGGGTGGAAACAGAGTAATAATCTTTTTGTTGTTTTTGTTTGTATTGTTTTGTTTTTCGAGACAGGGTTTCTCTGTAGCTTTGGAGCCTGTCTTGGAACTAGCTCTTGTAGACCAGGCTGGCCTCGAACTCAACATAGATCTGTCTGCCTCTGCCTCCCAAGTGCTGGGATTAAACGTGTGTGCCACAACTACCCGGTCAGAGTAATAATCTTAACATCACTCCTTGTCTCCCCTCCTGAGTCTATAAGCTCTTATCTCCAACAGGGCTGGATGGCATCAGCAGCCTCATTATGCTTCTGTTCAAAATCAAAACACCATTTTCATCATAGACTTAAAGATGGAAAGAAAGAAACAGCAGTAAGGAGATGTACACACCCTACCATATGAGTCCATAGCATCCTCTTATCTGATAATAGTGAACAGATTGCCCTTAGATGCCCTTTTACTAAAGCTCATACACTGGCCGTGGGTGAGACAGTCAAGTTTTCATCTGTACTTTGTTCTAAAAGTTAGGGAATCTGTGAGGCAAAATGAACAAGATAAATCCTCCCCACTCACAGGGGGAAGCCAGGGTGCTGCCGTGCTGAGGGCACCAAATGCACCCCCACTCCAAAAGTTATGGGTGTACTTTGGCAATCTCCCTTCCCGTTGCATGAGGGGCACATCTGTACGTGGTTCCTTAGGAAGGTAAAGCTTCCTTGAGTCACCTTCTTGCCTGCATTGCTCATCACAAAAAGGTAGAAAAGAATAGATCTTTCCTTAGGAGGTTGAGAATTCAGTAAAATGTTTAGAGTAGTGCCCATCACAGAGCAGCTAATCAATATTTTCTGTCACTATTCCTAATTGGCCAGCACGAATAAGGCTTGGTGACCGCACTGTAGAGTCTTCCAGACCCATGTTATGTCATGTGTTTCTGTACGGAGAGTTCCAGGGAAGGCAAGCTGGCTGAATTACATTGGGTCATTGCTACTTGACCTGGACCCACGAAGCTAGTCTTCCTGATAGCTGAGTCACCATCCCACTCCCTGACAGTGAGTGCAAACGGGACCTCAGTCCCTACTGAGCATGATTGCCAGATGCTCTGGTCAGAAGCAAGCTGATTGACATCAGAGAAAGGACTGTCAAAAATTACAATATGATTCAGAAAATTTAGTAAGGGGAGTGTGGAGAGAAGCACTTTTCAGATTGATAAGAGCTTTAGTTCACTGAAACACTGACGGGAAAGAATCTCATTCCCGGATGAAACCAAACATCAATCAAGCCCAGGACCAAACAGAATCAAGGCTCTTAGGTCTCTGTTGGTAGTATCAGAGAGTATAAATATTTTTAAACAAACTCCACTTATCTCCTGCAAAGGGGTCTGCCGAGTAGTCTTGCAGGTAGGCCTCTCTGGACCTAGATTTGGCAGGCAGTATCGCACTGCCTCTCAAAGATCATGTTGTTTAGAAGAAAGGACGGAAATCTACCAGCAATTCTGGTCCTGGCTGAACATGAAGAAGGGAAGACCTAAAACTCAGTAAGGCTGGACCCCTAGCAGAACCTGGTTTCACCTGTGAGGTCTGGAGATAGCAACAAGGAAGCTTGGGCGAAAACCCATGAGAAACACACATGGGCCACCTCATTATCTTCTTCAGCGTATGCCTGGGCTCCCAGCATTCCAAGGCTTCCTAAGAAATGCCAGAGCAGAGGCACCAGGCAGGTGAAGATTTATCTTTCACTTCTGTTCCCAGCTGCCACTGGGAACTCTAATAGAAGCACCCCCACCTTTGACCTTTCGTGGGCAGCACGGTAGAGCGCTTAAGCATCCCGGTGAATTTCTTGAAGAAAAACAAGTGACTGAAGCAAATAAATGCCCAAATGAGTTTCAAGGTAATCTTCTAAGGAAACAAAATGGTGCTGCATGAAGCTACTGTCAGTCAGGATGAGTGACCATGCAGATAGAGGTTATCACACTGGACAAGTCCTGCAGGGAGCAAGGGTTACTCTCTTCCTGGTTTAGAAGGTACCTGTGGAGCTTTGGATGTCCCATTAAAAAAATGTCTAAAAATCCACAAACCCACCCAGATGTCCCCCTCTTCTCTCCTGCTTTATTTTGGCAGCGACTCCCAGGACCCGCGGCGCTAGATGTCCTTGCTGTCCCCATAGTCATTGTAGGGGACGCTCAAGGTCTGTTCCTCACAGGTCTTCCTGAGGTCCCGGCTGAGCTCGGACCAGTCCAGTCCATAGGGCTTGATCTCACTGTACCTGCAGCCCAGGTACTTGAGTGCAGCGCGCCTCAGGGTTATCTTGGGCTCCTGAAGCAGTCCATTGCACCAGCTGCTCAGATCTCCAAGCTGAGAAAGGATGAGGCCTGCTTTCCTACAGGCCAAAGAGAAAGGACGCTTTGGTCAGGAAACAAAAAGACATGCCAAAAAGAGACAGCCAGAAAAGAAAAATTACTGCCAGGGCGAGACTCTTAACAGGGTAGAGCTGACCGTTCTGCTCCATCCTATCCCATTCTTTTCCTCTTAGCACAGCAGATCCTTCATGGTTGTCTGTCCAGTGAATGAATGAATGAATGAATGAATGAGTGCAAGGCATGGCCAGGCAAAGCGATGTAGGCACAAGTAAGAAATGGAAGTAACGAATGCAGCCAGGAAAGAAATAAATAAAGCTGAGACAATGAATAACTAATATTTTAGTGGGGATATATAACTTTTAAATCATGAAGTCTGTAGTCTTGAAAGAAATCAAATCAATGTCGTATAAAACCAGTAATTTATCATCACTAAATGACAAGTAATGTACTTGCCTGAGAATTTCTCCTTTCAAGGCTAAATTTGAATTGATAAAAAAAAAACAGTCAATATAGTGGAATGAAAGGGGTATCTGATGTAACCAATTATGTCTGTGCTGAGGGAATTATGGTACAATACGCCCAAGGACAATGGGGCTCTGGCTCACACTGACCCAGGAGTCTATTTGGGACAGAGCAGACGCCCAGGTGCACACACCACCTAATTAACCTTCAGGGGAGCTCATGCTCCGCTTCTTCATCTCCTTCATAAAGCCACAAGGCCACTGCTGTTGCTACCAAACACCACTGAGTAAACAAGGAAGGGAGTGGGTGAGAGGGCACCTGAGCCATCGAGGATCCTGGGAGCAGAAGGAGAGGAGAGCAAGGTTGCCCAGAATTGCACCCATTTGACAATACTGCTGTCTCTGCATGTGGGAACCTCTGACACACAGCCCGGTGAAATGGCTAACACAGCCTGGTGAAATGGTTAGCACAGCCTGGGGAAATAGTTAGCACAGCCTGGGGAAATGGCTAACACAGCCTGGCGAAATGGTTAGCACAGCCCAGTGAAATGGCTAACACAGCCTGGTGAAATGGTTAGCACAGCCTGGCGAAATGGTTAGCACAGCCTGGCGAAATGGTTACCACAGCCCGGTGAAATGGCTAACACAGCCTGGTGAAATGGTTAGCACAGCCTGGCGAAATGGCTAACACAGCCTGGTGAAATGGTTAGCACAGCCTAGTGAAACAGCTAGCAGTGGGATGACTGCTGTGTCCTTTTCCCTGGTGTCAGAGATAAAGGATACCTGGAAGCCGGTTCTAGGGCCATGTTGGTTTTCTTTCTAAGCACCTAGGACAAGGGATTCTCTCACTTAGTTGTGCTTCGTTTCTATTTTTCAAAGATATAAGTGGCCGGGAAGCCATGAAGATGATTCTCCTACTGGAACAAGCTCATGAAAGGCTCAAAATGCAGAGTAGAAAGCTTGCAGAACCGAATCCCTCGCAGTATTAACTCACTGCTAAGCTGAAAAGCTTTTCTTGTGAAGAATGATCTCTTTTCCGCTTTAATCAACAACTCCTTACACAAATGGGAATTTTTCTGCATCTCTTCTATAGTAAACATTTCAAAGCATAACTACACCCATTTAATTCCTCCTCATCTGGGCAGCGAGTGTGTTGTCAGGGGGGGGTGGGACAGTGATATCACTGGATTCCTAAGATGACAGGAAGAAGGAGGGTTAAGCTGGTTTTGGAGTAAAGATGTCATACTTCAAGCAGCAAAGTCAAGGGACGAAGAGCAGCGTGACCTCACTAAAAAGAAGTTGTATTTTCTCCAATGATGGTAGGTTGGAGGAACTCTGTCATCTGACTAATGAGTCTCTTTGGATGATCTGAACTGTCCCTATCAGCTCCTCTAGTTTGGTCAGGCAGGGTTCAGGGTTTTGGTGGCCCTTTCCTCTTAAACCTTCTTTTGTGTGCTATCATTAGCTAGCCTTCTGAGGAGTTGAAAGAAGTGGGGGTGGGGTATGAAGAAGGAATGAGGACAACATCTCATCATCTTCCGGAAACAGAAGGAGCACAACCCAGTAGCCTTTCAAAAGAGTGAATTGAATTAGTCTATGGAGTCTTTGTTGCTGTTTTCATTGCTCACTGATTGTTCTTTAAATAATAATTACTTTGGGTCTGAGCATCTCAGAGGCAGCAGCCTTCTTTGTTAGCAATGGTGCAAGACTGTTGTCCTCAGTCAGTGTTTGCAACCTCAGCTCAGTCTGGAAGCCTCAGGTTTTAATAACCCTACCAGAACAGTGGGAACCCTTTCTGTTTGCTAACAGGAAGTGTGTTCCCACAGACCTGTCTTTATTCATTCTCACAATTAACCCTGGAGTGAGTTGATGTCCCTGAAGGCTGTGAACTTTTCCTTTCCTGTGGCTCTCTCTGAGACTCATGACATTAACAACTAAGACTTTGTTTCCATGGACTAATGGAATAACACAATGTTTTCTACTATGTATTTGTGAAAGACCAGTATTGCCCATGCGAGCCCTTGGGAGGAGAATGTGGAGAAGAGGGTGAACAGTCAACAGTTGGTGTTGCTTCACAGTGGCATCCCCGTATCCTCCCCTGCTCACTTTCTGCATTAACCAATCTTCCTTCTGAATCTTGAGTCATAAAAGAGAAATTTTAAAGACTCAAATGCCCTTAGAAGTAACAATAAAATTTGCAATGCTAGTGCCATTCAAATTGTGGCATTTCTGCTCCCTAACAAAGAACCGTGTGTGTATAATGGATAAATTTCAGATTAAAGAGAGGAAAAGAGGGGCATTAGGAGCAGAAGGAAAAGAAAAAAGGAAAGAGTGAAAGAGGAGGAGGTAGCTAGAGGAGAGTATGACATGTGTGAGCGATAATTTGGCCAAAGGTAGTTATAGGGTCTAGAGTATAAAGAACATTTCCTTAGTACGTATCTACATTCTAAGTCAGAATTTATTTCTTAAAAAATACAAGGCAGACAAGTTAACTGCCCCCTATGTATTTCCGTTAGACCCACAACAGTGGCTTTGTTTGTTCAAAGTCTATCGTTCTTTGTAAATTACAGGTAAACTTACAGAGTGTAGCTTGATCCTGCCTGACTTTATACAAACTATTGTTTTATTCCAGGAAGAATAACCTGAATAGCCTACTTCCTCCGAAAATAATAAAGTAGAGCTTGGGAAGATGGCTCAGTCAACAAAGTGCTGGCCATTCAGATGTTAGTACAGTTCTCAGAAACCAGGACCCTGGGGTGGGATGCTATTATAACCCCACATCCATAGACTTAGAGACAGGAGGCAGTACCCAAAGCGGACCCTGACCTCCTACCACACCTGCACACACCAGCACACCAGCATACCTGCACACACGTACACACTTGTGTGTACACACACACACCAGCACACCAGTGTACCTGCGCATATGTGTGTACTTACGTGTACACACACACATACACCAGCACACTAGTGTACCTGCATGCATGAACATACTTAAGTGCACACACACACACAGAGACAGAGGGGGGGCAGGATGTCCTGAACAATGGTCTCTGAGAAACTTTCTAACTACTGAGGTGAGTGTCCTCAGACGTCAGAAGCTGGGATGGGATGACTTCTGGGCAACATTGCTTTGCCTGTTGACTAAAGTGTGAGGACTGTTTAAGAGCTAGGGGTAGGGTGAGCAGGGATACTACAGCATCAGTTTCCCTCACTTTGCCTCCTCCTCCTGACTCTCTCCCACCCTCCTTTTCTTGCTCCCCCATGTCTCTCTCTATCTCCTTCTGTCCTCCACCTTCCACCACACCCTGTCCTCCCCTTTCTTTTGCTTTCACTTTATTTTCCCCATTCTCACAGCCCTTGTCATATCTTCATTTTTCACAAGTTCTTGAGTGATTTATGGTACTAAATTTTATGAAACCCACCTATTTATTATGTCTAAGAATTACAGAATTTCCAGGAAAATCTGCTATCTCAATATATGGTCAGAATAGACAGTCTAAGACAGGAGTGCTATCTCTCTACACTCCTCATTCCCTACTTTCCAGGAATTCTACCTGAGCTTCATGACCTAAAAGCAGTATATATTGTGCATTAGGAAGGGACAGGATTGGGTCAGAAGTAAATGGGAAAATACCATGTCACCTTAATGGAGGCCTCATCTTCTCTAACACCAGCTTGAAAGAGCATGCAAAAGTCTGCATCCTATAGGTAACATTCATGTGCACCAGATGATCCATGATGACCTCCTTAGTAAAACTTTTCATTTTCTTTCACAAGACTGAGGTTTGATTCCCTATAAATTTAGAATCTGGAATTCTGTATCAGTGGGATCAAGAACAGGAACAAAGGCTCAGAATGTGAATTCATGACTCAACCTGCTTCAAAAGAACTGATTCCAAACCACTCTGCATGCCCTGGGCTGTGTAAAACATGTCACCTAGTTCTCCGAGCATCTGAGATCCCTCAGAAAGTCTCTACAACTTCCAGGAAACAGTACAACAGCATAAGAGACACACAAGACTCCATAGAGTGTTGAAAAGAGAATGCAGAGTTCACTGAGTACCTGGGACCTAATTCATCCTCACACCGCCAGGTGAATTCCCCAAAACTCTCGTAGTGCTGGTTATAGTGGTAGAGGACTCGATGCAAAGTGGGGGAACCCAGGTCCAGAAGGGTGTTGTAGGCAGTCTGTTGCTCCTTGCCACTGGTGTAGCCATTGAAGAGATTGTAGATCTTGTCTGCTATTTCTGAGGAGGAAAGAAAAGGCAAGTCCAGCTGTGCTTTGGGAAATGCATCATTAGGAGATTTCAACTCTGTTCAGAGATTATATAGAGTGCACCAAAACAAAATAGATGGCACCATCTATTAACATGTGTTACATATGATATACTCAAGGCATAACCATTGTTCCTGGAATTGTGATGAACACTACAAGATTAAAACAGGAGCAAGAAGAAGGACTCAATCAAGAGACAGGGTAGATGCAGATGCAAAGGCTGCTGCTGTGAAATAGTATGCTATTTTCAATAAGGTATTTTCTAAGTGGAGTACTACATAGTTTTATACCTAGAAGAGTAAATACATAAACCAGAGATAGTTGTTCATTATCAGGGTCAATATTATTAGGTGCACACAATCGTGTGTGTTATGTGACTGGCAACACAATAGATTTGTTTACATCAGCACCACAAGCCCGTGAAAATAAATTTTGCTCTTACATCATGACTGCTACATCATTACTGTGCATAGAAAATTTGTGGCTTCATTATGGGCTCATGGGACCACTGTGGTATATGTGGTCCATTACTTATCAAAATATCATTACATAGTATTCAGCCATTAATTATATATGTATAATCATATGCAATATATGTGCATGTATTTACATGTGCCAGAAAATAAATACATGCATATTTATTTATGCATTCATGGTGTTATTTTAAAACACTGACCCTAAAGTATGAGATTGATTTGTGTAATTTACTCTACCTCTATACCACTGGGTGTCAGTTCTCTTTTTAATAAATTAAATGCCTTTGACTAATACACCTCTAAGGTCAATTTCAGCTGCTATACTTTTTGTCTTACCAAGGTTTACTAAAAAATAATAATAATAATAACCTAAGGCATAAGCTAATATATTCATGCTTGATTGGAAAGTGCAATCCCAGAGAAATAAGTGTGGGGATGAAGGCCAATGAGGCAAGAAATGAGAGACAATATAAAGGATTATGTCAGAAAGCTGGCAATGCCTTCCTGAGAACCCAAATGTTATATTTTGCAGGAGAGGATGTTTGAAGTTGCCGAACCACTTCTGAACCATACAGTGTAAAGAATAAAGACTTAATGTTCAGTTCCCATTAAAGATTGATCCGAGTGTGCTTCCATATAAGACTGGTTGGAGTTTACTCCTATGAGACACTGACATGAAAACTTATACGTGTAGGTAGCATTTACCTGGGCACCAAGTGGTTCTTTAAAAAGCACTGGGGAAACTCAGGCCACAGGCGGCAGGCTTTGGCTCAGAGATAAAATGAGGCACCATCAGATAATATTTCTGAGTCAAGAGAAGAATTCAGAGACGCATTGACTTTGGAATACTAAACGTTTGCTGGAACCAGATAGGCCCAACATAAAGGTAGCATGAGAATCTGTATACATCCAGAAACTCAAGCTAGAACACTATACAATTCCAAATGAGTAAGCATTCAGTTTAATTTATACCTGTGGTGTATCTGCCTCCAAGGTTTCCATGGCTAAGACTGAGTTCAGTGACATGCTCAAGCAGCTACAGCTTTGTATAGCCTTAACATTTTTTTATTTTATAATCCAAGGAGTTTTATCATTACATGTTTTCTCAATATGGCCATCAGAAAAGAGATGCTTTTTGCATGTTCTTCTTAACATCCGAGAGCTACCGTCCTCTGAACAGGTGAGCGATGCTTTCCCTCGGGTGTGTTAATTCTGGAGTTGAGGAAACTGAGTTCTTTTTTTTTTCTTTGTTTTTTTTTGGATTTTTTTGAGACAGGGTTTCTCTGTAGTTTTTGGTGCCTGTCCTGGAACTAGCTCCTGTAGACCAGGCTGGCCTCGAACTCACAAAGATCCGCCTGCCTCTGCCTCCCCAGTGCTGGGATTAAAGACGTGCACCACCACCGCCCGGCAGGAAACTGAGTTCTTGAGTGAGAAAATCAGAATTATGCCTACTTGACCCCAGAAAATCAGAATTATGCCTACTTGACCCCATTAACCAATCACAGCACGGGGACTCCTTGTGCTCACACCAGGTAAATTTCAGAATCTTGGTAAATGTCAGATCCACCAGAATGTGTTGTGGGTAGAATGATTAAAATCAGTGCTGTCCTCCACGTCACACTGAGGACGGGAGCTAGACCTTATTTTCTTGATATCCTTAGAAGCTGTACAGTGCCAGATAAAAGAGCTGATCAGAAATTGATAGTTATAAGAATAGAGCTCCTAAGTTTGAGCGTAGCTTGAATCTACTTGAGAGCAGGGTTTCTAAATGATCCTTCTCCAGGCCGGTTTGCACTAACCCTAGAAACAAAACCTACAGGCAGCACACTCAGCAGCAATGCCCATCCTTCTCCTTCAGAAATTCAATTAGATTCTCAGGTTGTTAAAATTCTCAGGCAGCTGTAATGAGATTTTTAGATAAAGAAGAGAGCAATTTAGAAACTGAAGTCCCATGATATCTCACTATTATTAAAGGTTTATTCTTTTACTAGGCTAAGAACTTCACATCCCCACACCCCTCACTGCAGATTTATGCATCTCAACAAATGAGATTAAGAGATGGACAATGTTAGAGGTTACCAACCAGAGGTCACATTGCTATGGTGGGCAGCAATGAGGCTTCTGGATTGTCCCCTTGCCATTGCTACTTTGCATCTGTGCTCAGTCATCAGTGGCATTTAAACAGTGTAAGGTGTAAGAGGCAGTATCTTGGGGAAATATCTCTAATAGAGCACATGTGGGCAGAGAGTCCTTGTAGTGTGGCAGGGAGTTGGGGCTTTTCTGGAGGTAGGAGAGAAGGAAACAGTGGGCCGATTCTGATGACTGGCTTGTATTGTTTGGAAGGCAGGGCATGTTTTGCTAAGCCGAGAATGGTTAGGGAAAGAAAACCATTGGTGCTCAGACTCCAGCTTAGATAAGTTGATTTGGAATTCCTCTTTGACTGATGCACTGATACCAAATAATGTTTCTTGCAGTGGGAGATAACGTGTCAGATTCCAGGTTCTACGTGTTTACTGTTGAGACATGGCCATGGCAGTGGTGGTGGTTCCTGGGGCACGCTTCGCTCTTGTAACGGAAGAGTCATGTTTAGTTGAATAAGCTAACATCTGCATCCTGTGGGCAAAACCAAGTTCCACTACAAATCTGCTAAAACCAAGATAATCTAACTGAAGAGGATAAAAGCCTATCAGTAAACAGGATCTTATACTCAGAAAAACCTGTGCTTAAACTCCAGAGCATGACCGCATCTGTCTTTTCCATCTCCCCTGAGAGAACTGAGACATTTTTTTTCCTTTAACAATTCTTTCTTTTTATTAATTAACATTTGAGACATTTTTTATTTCATTAATTTTTATAGATTGTAAGAGTTCAACCATCCAAAGAATGCAGGTAGTTTAAATTATTATTTTACTTCGCTTTGAGCTTCACAGAAGTCTTCAGCTATCCATGACAGATTCAAGTCCCTTTTCTCTTTAATGTGCAGGAGTTAGGGACAGTGAAGAGCAGGTGAGAAGATGGCTGGGAGGTTGGATACATCGCATCATCGCAAAAAAGGGAGTCTGGCTTGCTAGAAGGGATCTGAGATCTCTTGGACAGTGGGATAAAATAACGGCTGGGCTGAAGCCATTAGACTCAAAGGCATAACTAACAGCAGCCATCAGACCTTTGAATAGACTCGAGTTTCTGTGTATTGGCCTTGGATATATTACTTAACCCCTTGGGTCTTAGTTTTCCTGTTTTTCCAATAATTGATTGTAATATATACTTCCCAAGATTATCATGAGAATAAAAGTTTTCCTGATTGCAAAACTTTGATTCAGTGCAATATCTGCCCACAGTATCTTTATTTAAATATAAAAAATAATAAAATATTTAAATATAAAATATTTTTATTTATTCATTGATTTTATAAAATTGTTAATGTATACCTAACAAGTCCTGAAATGTTAATCAAATGTGCTTGGGAACCAGATAACTGAGAGAATCTGGTAAAAGTCCTCACTTTGTGTTTGCAGTGTTGTGGTGGGAGATAGTCAAGCAAGTAACAAAGCATCCTAAATAAAGGAAATGAAGTACGTAAGAAGGCGAGGAAAGAAAACATGAATGGGAAGCATGGGAGTATTGAGAACTTTGTCAGTTTAAGTAGGTTGTCGGCACCAGATCTCAATGACATGATGGGCACTGGGATTAGATATTGAAGAGAAGTGGGCGTGATGTGTAATATCTTTTGAAGAACATACAGAGACCAGAAGTCCCAGCCCCAAGGCTCCCAGATTACAACAGGCACCAAATGAGCAGGTGCATACAGAAGCAGGTGAATGAAGGGGAAAGGAGGGAGAAATAGTATTTTTGTTTTTACTGCCAATTTCTCAATAGATAATGTTTTCTTTGATGCCAAGACAAAGAAAGAAGACAGGAAACACAGCAGCCGAGGAGACTGGGGAAAACAGTATGATTAAATGAGATAGTAACTCAGAGCCACAAGTGAGTTTTCTCATCCCCCAGTAAGAGTAGCTCTTTTTACCTGAATTAGGAGCAGTGGGAAACATTGGTAGCTTTCGTTGATGGTTTCCCGGCTTCATAGAAATGGTCCCCAGACAAGAGATCCTAATTCATCACTTAGCATTTCTCAGGAGCCACCTGCAACCCCAGTCCCACACTAAAGTATTGAATGGTGCAGTTCCAAGCAGTCTCAGCTGGCCTGGTGTCTTTGTCCTTCTTAGCATTACACATATTGCAAGGTTCTGTTTTCTCTCCCTGGCTCTGTATATGCTCCCCATCAAGCTTTCCTGTGCTTCTGCTATTACCGGTGATCCACACATAGGAAGCATCATTTCCATTGTCATAGCTGCTGTTTCTCACTCGAGTGTCTGGTTTGGAGCCAAATCAGAAAATACCTATTTCTGATGAGTTCCAGGATAACTCTGATGCTGTTGATCTAGGTACCACATTTTAAAGACCAATGCTGTACACGAACCCATATTCTCTAATCTTTCCTTACTTTTCTCTGGGACAGAAGTTATCACAAAGCAACAGCTCTTCTCTTTGCCCCCAACTAGGGTACATATTCTTCCTTCCTTCCTTCCTTCCTTCCTTCCTTCCTTCCTTCCTTATTTTTGTGTTTTCTGAAACCTTCTCCAGGACATATATATTCTTCTCCTACATCCTTGAAGAGGATGGTCCTTTAGTTCCTAACAGTCAACTGAAGCAACTCCCTCTCCCTCACACACATGTTAAGCAGCCTTCATTTCCAAAACTCTCCTAGTTTAAATTTCCTCCCACTCATTCCCTGACCACTAGCTTACATCCATTGAAGATCCATGCTTCTAGTTCATCTCTATGCCGCTTCCATGAAGGGTGGCTTTGCCTCTTGTGAAAGAGGCCCCCTTAAGGCATTCAGCTGTGAATCATTGTCCCGAGAACTGCTCTGCCTTTAAAATAGCAGATCTTAAAATGACATACTGTGAACAGAACACAACCTCACTCTGCAATTTCTGTGTTTTGTAGTGGTACTCATCCTATTCTTTGATGGAAAAACAAACAAACAACAAACACCTGAGTGTTTTTGGCTTCTCCATTCACTCCAGCATCCTTTCAACCCTTTTCCTTCTCTACCTGAGATCCAAACCAATTTACATTAGTTTTCTTCTTCTCTCAGTCTCTCTTCTATCATATTTTTGCGAGCTTGTGCTTCTGGAATTTTCCAGAGCAAATCACACACCTTTCAACCAAATAAGACTGTTAACATGACTGTTCCTTCTGCCATGTTCCACATATAACCTATTGAGAAATAAATCCTTAGGTTCCGATCACCTCTTAGCAACTGTCCAATAGTGACACTTATATAAACAGCAGCCCGTTGCCTATCGATTGCTATGGCCATCTATTTCCACTTTATAATGTGCTGGGTCTGTTCTCATCACAGCAGTAAGAATAACCTCTAAAACATCAAATCTAATGATGTCACTCCTCTGTCCCAAGTCCTCTGGGGCATCCCATCACAATGCCAGATCCGGTCCCTCCTATTAGTGACTAGACACTACTAAATCAGCCCAGAACCCCTGGAAACTCTTACCCATGTGTCTTTTCCACTCCCCACTCCTCACAGATATGAGCCAAGAATCACAAGTCTTTATTTTGTCTTCTTCAAACATCCTCAAGGTCTACCCTGCTACTTTCGGAAATGATTCTTTTAAAGACATTTGTGTGACTTCCTTCTTCACATACTTTCCCCAATTCTGACCTCTGCCTTTCTATACCATGCCCCATTTTTATCTCCATGATAGGTAGCATCATTTGAGATGTATATTTTACTGTTTTGTTGCTGTTGTCTGTGGCCCCTGCTGACGTATCTATAGAGGTACGGTATTTTTGTTGCTGTTGTTGGTGGCCCCCGCTGATGTATCTATAGAGGTACAGTATTTTTGCTCCTCATGCCTACAGCAGACTCAAGCAAGGACTAAACATTTGTTGAAAGAGCTCATAAATCCATGAAATTGATCATAAAATTCTTGAAAATTGATTCTGAGTCCAATACTAGCAACAGAAAAATGTCTGTTTGGTGACTAATTCCAGGAGACAAACACACCTGTGGGAGAATCAGATAAAGGAATGGGTGCATTTGTGTATCAACCAGAAAGGAGGGCAGCTGCTGGGGGAACAAAGGACAAGAGCCAGCCTTCCCTTGGTGAGATTCCATTAACTTGCAGGATATAATGACACAACCTTCACACCACTTGGGAGGTTTATCTCCTCCCGAGGAAATGCTTGCTTCAGCTCCAGGAGACTGGTTCCAGTAATCAGGCAGTAGAAACATACTTACACAGTAGCTGGAGTGTTACGACATGGTAAAACTCTTCTTAGAACGTATCTAGCTAGCTTTGGATAAACACCCACATGAGGGATAGTGTCTGGGAGCTGATGTCACGCTCTGGGTCAAATTCCTGTCTGTCCTTTGCTTTAAGCCCAGACCCAAATGAGTTATATTTATGATCACCATATGGGATTGCGGAGACAAAGCATATGGGGTTTTCTTTGGAAGGGCTATATTAATTTGCAAGGATGCCCTCAATTAGTCTAACTCATTAATCTCCAGACTTGCTCTGAGCAGGACTCCTTCCTGGCTGAAGAATAACAGGACCTGGGACTGCGATTTTATTCCATCTGCACTAAATTGTCTTCTTACACCTCCAGTTCTTTTGTCAGAAAGCGAAAGTGGATACAGAACTCATTCAGTCATCTTGTACTAGAACTGACAGGCGGGAGCCCTCCAGAGAAGGAGCTAGCTACTCTCTACCACGTGTCCCGTAGAGGTCGTCATGCTGATAATCATTTCTCCTGTTCAACTCATCCTTGTTGCTTTCTCCTCAGCCAGCAGCTCCACAGTAGCTTTTGTCTCTTCCCAGACACCAGTGAACACCAGACAGTAAAGCGCCTTCTTTGACATGGGCTCTCATCTTGAGATGTGTGACCCAGACTCTGTCTTTACCTTCATGGAGTTTTAGAGACCTTTAAGGCTCAGATCCTGTAAGCTAGCTCCTCTCCCATTAGGGAGAAGTCCACCTGCCATATATGTGTGGGTTTCTCTTCTTCCACTGTGTCCCACTGGGCACGGCCCTAAAAGGGAGAATTCTGCTCTTTTTTTTTTTACAGTAGCCCCTTTCTCCACCAGTTTGCCGAGACAATGTCCTGTTGAGTCTTTCACCTAATAACACTCTCTGTTTGTCATAATAACATTATAAAAATAAATGGGAATTGGGATCAAAATGTGGGTTCTGTTAGACTCTCTGTAACCTCAGGCATCTTATTTACTTAGAATTTCAATTTCATCATATGTAAAACAAGGACAGTGTTGTGTTCATTGCTTCATATATAGAATATCGAGTTTCTATCAGAGAACTATCAGGCTTCATGCTTGGTTACCAATAACTAACACATTTCCTTAATGTTTACTATGTACTAAGCACTGTTTTGCTTTTATTATTTTAAGTTAATGATCTCATTCAATACTTGCTAGACCCTTCACATTGGGTGTACCATTTTCCCCATTTCACATTTGAGTAAACTGAGGCATGAGATAAAGGAACCCGTGCAAGATCTACTAGGTTGATGGTGGATCAGGAGTCTGAACTTAGGCTGTTGGCTCCAAGGCTGAGTTCTTATGTGAGCTGTCAGTCAACTATACTGTCTTCTAGATATTGGGGACATGCAGCACAGAAAGGGGGACTTGCCTCGGGCCTTCATGACACTCATTGGCTAGGGAGGTCAAAAGAAACTAAGCAAATGCTTATAAAAATGGAAAGAAATATTTTACAAGTCAGAAACATAATACTGTGAGGGCACATAACAGTGGAGAAGGGGACACTTGATCTGAGGCTCTATGCTGAGTTGAGTTAGCCATTTGGAAAGGTACAGAGCATTTGAAGTAGGTAGATGGTAATAGGGCCTAACACATGCAATGACCCTATAATAGAAGTGAGACCTGTATAAGAGGTATTGAGGAAGGTAGTAGGACCAGAATGAAGAAATTGATAGGGTAGTGGAGAGTTGGCAAGTAGGTGCTAAAGAAGTAGACAGGGTCACCCACTTATGTCCCAAGAGGCCTTTTAAATATTCATGTCATAAGAATAATGGCAGCCCATTAAGGGATTGTTATTAGAACATATTTTATTACGGTTAGACGTTTTGAAAATGCTGTGTACATAACATGCCAATATGATTAACTACAAACAATATTTCCCAAAGTTGTACAGTATTAAAAGGTCAGTGGTTTAAATTAAAGCAGAGCTAGGTGGGCAGCCCATTTTGGGGACCCCATGCCTGTTGCAGGGAGCTGTCATTTCACTTTCCGATAAAATCCTGCTGGCTAGCTCTACAAAAGTTAGACAAAGTAAAGTAGATCTAAATCACTCTTTTCCAAATGATTGTCATCATCAGGCTCTTGCCCTGTGGCATTCTGGGACTATGCCCCTCTTGGTCAAGATGATATATGCATAGCCAAGAACTATATGTAGGATAGTGAGGGGCAGCAGACAATTAACTTAGCCATGGTCTTTCCCTGATTGGAATCCGTGGGACCAAAGTGTTCAGTGTCTCTGCTGATAAAAAGACTTGTGTTTCAGATCTGACTAGTAGACATTAGGGCCCTTACAGTATCACCTTAACTGGTTCTGGAGTCCCAAGAAATGGGAAGCGTAACTGGGGAATTCTGCCTTCAGAAGTGTGAAAACTTTAAAGCAGGGGATCATGCCAAGACCAGCCAGGGAGCATCTCTTGTGTGCTGGAAGATGACTGAGAAAAAACTTCCTAGTGGTTTAGGACCAAGGCCAGTGAGGAACCTTACACTGAAGAACCGGCACATAATAACTTCGAAGTATGGAGTTTCTCACAGACTTGGGTGCACTGGAGGAGGGGCTGATGACGCATAATTCCAAGTCTGCAGCCCTGTATGCTTTAGTTCAGAGCAAACTTTCAGATCTACAAACCCACAAAGAGCAAGTGGTCCATCCATGAGGGCAGAAATGACAGATACTTTTGCATGAACCTGAGCACCTACTTGCCTGGGAACTTTGTCAGTGTCTGTTGCTGACTCCTGCTTGATGGACTATATGGGATCACAGAATACAGTGAAACCCTCTGCTGGAGCACAAGGCCCAGCAGTACTGGCAGAAAGTCCACGCTTCTACCTTGAGCTTGGATTCTTCCTTCCTGTCAAACTCCAGGTCATGCCGTGCACTCCTTTGGCTACCGGTTCCTTAGCATGGCAAGGGTAGCTAGTTGGGCAATCATGTGTAGACATTGTTAACTTCAGTCCTTACCTTGGGCTTTGACATCATCCACCACAGGACATGGCGTCTTCACAATCACATCACTTGGCCTGGAGCGTCGCCCTGTGTTGTCCACTCCCCAGAGGGTGAACCTTGCAGAGAGGAAGGAGGGTAGCATTATTAGAAGGAAATGTTGGGGTTTGGGGTTGAGCAGCTCTGTCTGGAGGCCCAGTATTGTCTAAATAGAAGGCTGGTACACTTACTGCTCCCATCCAGCACTCTGGTGAGAGAGCAGTGGCATGAAGCCTTTGGCTGGTTCCTGTGGCCTGTGGTTGGAATGTACTGTCTTGAGGGATGTCTGATAGAAAGTAATACAGTGAAGGGCACTTCATCTCCACATGGAACCCCCAGGCAAGCAACATCAGCACCATTGCTGGAAATTCTCTAGTTCCCTGCTACAGGAACTAGAAACCTGTGCTTTACCAAGCCTTGAGACTTCCAGGTGGCTCGTTCTCCTTTTTTCTTTTCTTTCTTTCCAAATTATTTATTTATTATGCTACCTAATTATTCTTCCAAAAATATAGTGTTCAAAGAGATATGACCTCAAGCCCACTGTTTCTTCCTCACTCAGAAGCACAGAGGATAGGCAGAGCAAGGGCCTGCATGCCCCAAGATGCCACAAACCTTTCTCTTCCCTCCCCAGCCTCATGCCAATGTCATGAGGCCTCACATAGGTAGGCTTCACCCTAGCAAGATCCCTGGTCTAGTTAGACCTAAAATGTGACAGCCTGCTTAACTCCAAAAGACATGGGTCAGCCCAGAGCTGTTGTGCCTAAAGGACCTTCTCAGCTAGTGAACCAGGGCCAAACATCCAGCTTTCTTATCAACAGAGAGGGTTCAGAGCATGCCACATGTTTATCTCGTGCCCTGCTCCTAAGCCTTGCTCAATGGTCTTGCTCAGTAGAGCCAGTGCTAACAGCCCTCTCCCACCACATGTGCCTTGAGTCCAAACTGAGCATCTTGCCACCTTCTTCCTGCCATGGCATCCTGGAGAAAGCCTGGGCTGCACTGACACTCCTTATCCCCACGCTAGTCCTGGCAGCCATAAGTCCTCTCATTGGACTCATTGCCTCATTAGCTTCTTAGTCCTGTTTCTAGAATTTTTCTGAGACCCCCAAACCTGTAAATGGTATACCTGAGCTTTTTGGAACCAGATCCATTTCTGAGCTCATTTTTTTAACCCAGTCTCGTAGCACATTCAACTACGGTTCTGAAGGGTAGACCTAGAGGTAGCATGGGTACCCCCATGCAAACTTACACCTCATGATGTATGCGATTCCCATGCTAAGCCGTGTTCTCTGGGACCTCTAATAGTATGTTTCGTTAGAAATCCCTGGGATTCAGTAGAGAACCAATCTATATTTTGGGACTCTGAGGCCCTTTTAAGGGAAGTGGGGTCTTTTTTTTTTTCTTCAGCTTGGTCTCCAAGGTTTGCTCTTTGCTGCTGACTCCATCGGTTCTAGCGGCTGCTCTTGGGAGAGCTAGGAGATGCAAAGCCCTGATCCTTGCAGGCTGACACTCCAGGATGGCCTGGGTGTGGTCTGGGGTTACAAGCATAGCCCTGTTCCCCTAGTGCTCTCTTCCTTCAGCCCTACAACTCCAGGTTAGGCTACTGCCACCTGCCAGTAAGCTGAAGGCTCCAACCTCAACTTTACTGGCTGGAGCCAGTATTTGCAGTCCATCATAATTTAATCCTGGACCCTTAATTCTTACGTTTCTCTGGACTATAATAGCCTATTCCTTGGGTACCAAACTGACTGCCAGATGGAGCCTGACTTTCAGGTCCTGGGTGGAATGAGTCACCAACCTCCAGCTAGTCCACACTCCAGGCAGCGCTCCTTCCTATCTTGTCTTGCTAACGTTCCAGCTACAAAGTGTCTGATCCTGAGCTGGGACAAAGATGCCCCTGTTGGTGTTCAGTATTACATACTTTGAAAGGCCGTCAGTATGAAATGCAAGCTCCTAAGCTCTGATTATTCAGCAGCACATTTTATTTTTTAATACAAGGCAGATACTAGGAAAGGAAATGCCTCACACAACCTTCCAAGTAAAGACAGAGCTTGACCTTAAGAACTATTCCTCAGCAGGCCCAGCCCTTCCCCTAGCCCCCCCTCCCAAGCCCCCAGAGAGGGAGAGAGCAGCCAGGGTGTTTGACTACTGAAGGCTGGGGAACACTTGCCCCATTTTCATGTGGAAATGCCGCGTGCTGGCATGTCAGGAAGGCCTTCTCTGTTTGTTGTTGGCGTTTTCATCCCGCTCGCCATAACACTCTCAAAAGACAGCAAGAGGGTTAGCTGGAATTACTGACAGAGGAGATAAGCCTGGCTCTAGATCCCGAGGGCTCATGTGTAAGTCCGTTTACTGCTTCTTCCAAGGCTTCTGGGCTCCCTCCCCAGCCGCAGGCTGGGACCTCTCAGTGCGTAGTTAGCGACGTGGTGATGACACGGGCAGAGGCATGTGTGCGTGGGAACTGACACAGACTGGCTCAGGCCCCAAGTCGGGGCCTTAAAGGTCTGGGGCCTAATGCTAAGCAAGACTATCAGGGGTTGGCTGCATTGCCTGCTGCTTTTCTGTTTTCCTCCTGCCGCCACGAGGCTTTGTTGATCGTCTGCTTCAGACATGCTTCTCTATCATCTGTCTGCTGTAATGTGCTCAGAAATGCAGGTCTCTCCTCCCGGCTGGCATTGCGGTGAGACGGTGGTGGGAGGGGCAGTACCTACCCTAAAATGAAGATGTTGGATCCTGTACACTTTAAGGGGGTCCTTAACTGTGTTTGTGCCACTTGGTCCATTGTCAGAATGCTTCTCACGTGGCATTAAATGAAATATATGATAAAGAAAGCTGAAATTCAGATGTAACCTTATAATCTCCCATGGGGACCAGCTCTTGCATGCAGGATAATTCTCCTAGATCTTGGCAGAATAAACTGGGGTGGCCAGGCAGTAAGACCCAGTGTGTGGAAAAAGACAAACCCTGTTTCAGCTCCTAACCATTATGTAGATCCCTACTGTGATTCTGGGGAAGTTATTCAATTTTTCCTGAACCTCCGTTTCTTCAGTTATAGACTAGGAATAAGTCTAGTCACATAGGACCAGCTGTCCATACACAGTGGGTACCTTCCTCTTAACCCGTAGTGAAGAAAAACTAAGTGCAGGGAAATTAAGGGTCATATTTAAAGTCGCTTTATGGTTAGGCACAAAACCAGGTTTGCTGGATGCTTTCTTTGCCCCAGGGATGGAAGTACAGTAATTCCTCGCTCATCAATAAAGAGGAAGAGTGTGGCCTCTAGCGCACCTCACTTTTCCCCCACACACTGGGTCTTGTGTTCAGGCTGCTCCGGGTTATTTTGTCAGGATCTAGGAACATCCTCTTGCTAAAGCAAGAACTGGCTCCCCCACTGGGGGTTATGAAGTTACAGCTGAGGTTCAGCTAGGTTTTCCAGCGATCTGCACTGCCACCTAGTGGAAACCGGCTGTCCTTTACCGTCTCTCCTACTCCTGTAATCAGCATCGACAGGAAAAAGATGATTTACAAAACATAGGAGGGGAACCTTAGATCACCAAGGATGCTGAATCTGGGAGAGGATCTTAGTTCTCGGGTCTTTGACCAGGAAACAAAGCCAAATCAGCCAACTCGAGCAAGGTCCTAGACTTGGTTAGGGTCTTTCTGAAGGATAGTCTTGCCCACCTCGTTTCCCTAGAACTTCTGACTTCCTAATTAACAGGTAGGACGGACTGATAGGTGTTAGCGCACCCTCACTACAAATGGTCATGTGAGTCACATTAGGAGACTTCTGGAAGCAGATTGCTGGCCTTCAGATGTGTGTTCCTTTGTCACAAACCCTTCCTCTGTAGGGCCACAGCTGTCCACTATCAAGAGCACTTCTATGGATCATGTCATCCTTGTCCAAAGAACAGACAGATAGTCACTGGCATGGGCATTGCCATCTTTGTGTGTGCATCCAGTCCAGATTCTCAGATCCCATTTGTCTTTATGTATTTCCCTTTCATCCTGCACAGCCCCGAGTTACATCTCTTACTTCTACATGAAAGATGCACAGCTAAATATCTAAGTTCATCACAATCAATGGCACTCAGACTTCTAGTTCTTTCCATCTTTGAACTCCCTGAGAGTGGAAGTGGGGATGATTTATTCTGGAAACCTTGACTCCATGCCTGTGACCTCATCTGTAAACTGTTAGATGTTTTTCATACTGATAGGGTCAAAACGCTTCCGAACTGTATCACTATGAATTCTGCGTTAGACCCTGGATTTTTCCATCATGACTTAGATTCTATCGCCGAGTCTCCTCTTTTGGCATCTTTTATGCCTTTGCTCACAAATATTTTACAGTTGTTCCCAGAGCTCAGGAAGAGATGGGAAGAGTTCACAGAGAACACAGGGATGTTCCAAGCATGGTGATATAATTCACTCCATTTTCTTTGAAGAAAAATGCTGACCAGCATCTAAACTCTATAAATTATTTCAGAACCACTAGAGATAGCTTTCTTACACATAGTTCTTGGCGTTGTCCTCCTTTCTTTAAAAAAATGTTTTTTCTCTGACATACATCTTTCACTCTAGTGTTCCAGGCTCATTTTCTTCCATTTCTGTTTACTCCCCACCCGTTTCAGACCCATTGGACACCCGCTGCTCCCCTTCATGCCTCTCTACTTTTGCCTGGGGGTTTCTAACCTAGTGTGCCTTTTCCACCTCACAGTAGCTACTGGATTCTATAAAATCAAATTTAGAATCTAGACACCAACTCTACTTAGAATAAACCACTTCCTTCTTTCTTTCCAACACGTCTCTGGCCTTCTAAGTAACACGTATTCCATTCTGCCTTGGGTTACATTTATCTGTTTATGTGTGTCGTTTGTAAAGCCTTTGATGACAAGACTTCTTCAGGAAATGTTTCCATAATGTCTATTGAGATTTGACTGCAGAGGCTAAAAATCTCTTGCCGCATCTCTGAAGGAACCTAGGCAAAGAAGGGAGCCGGCAAAGATCCTGGAACTTTCTGGGTAAGGCGTCATTAAGGTGCACCTACTTACATGTAAATGGTGTCAGGTTCCAGGCATCGGATGATGAGAGAAATGGTGGTGAGCTGCTTGTCTGGCACCTGAGATGGCATGGCACAGGGAGCCTTCGCTCCAGAGATGATGTCATCTACAAAGCTCAGCACTGTTTCTGCACAAATGAAAAGGATGAGAAAAGTATGAAAAACAGAGATGTTCCGGCAATGAGAAACGCTCTGAGAGCTTGCTGAAACATCTTAAATTCCCAGTGGGCAAAAAGACCTTGGTTTGGGGTGGTTTTTGTTGTTGTTGTTTATTTTCTTTTTTCTTCTGACTGTTACACTGTTAGTCAATCAGCTGAGAGTCATTTGTCCAGAGTTAGCTCAAGGACTACTAAGGCAAAATGTACGTGCCACATCTGTGACTTCTCCCATGAAACACTTTGACATTGACAGAGAACAGATGTGCTGGTCCCTGGGCCCTAACATACCTCACCAATACCTATACATGCCAAGGGAAGAGCCCCAGAAACAGCAATGGAGAGCTTTCCATGCCCCAAAAATGTTTCTCCAAGCCTCAATCCCAAATTCACTAGAAGCTCGTAGGTTGTGGACATCGTTGTCCCCAAGGAAGACCGTATTTTATGTGAAAACCTTAGGATTATTTATGTTAGCTTTTCTCTATGTGTAGGCAGCAGAGAAGTAAGGCATGGGACTTTTATTTCTGTGGGTTCTTTCTACTCATGTAAGGCTTTCCTTTTCTCTCAGGCCTTGACAAAAGTCAGTTTGCTTTAGGACAAGTCATGGATCAAGAGCATCTGTTTGTACATGCCTTTGCCTAGAGGGGGTTATTAGCAAAGGAATTTTTTTTTTCTGTAATCATGGCAGTGGTTAGCAGAGAATTGTTTCTTAATTGTGGGCTAGGATAAGTAGTGTACTGTGTTGTTGTTGCTTGTGAGTGTGCCTAGAGGCAATGAAATGGACACCTCTTTTATAAATAAAAGAAAAGCAAAACGAAAACAAGACTGTCAGCTGCTCACCATGCAAAAACTCTTAAATGGACAAGATGGCTGTTGCCTAGAAGAGGCAGTAGCTTTTTCTTTTCTGCGCCATGTGCTGCCCTGAAATACAGGGAGCTTGAAGGAGTGCCACGAGGAAGAGCATTCTTTTCTTCTTTCACTTTTCCTCCCTTTGAAGAAGACTAGGCAGGGGATGGAGACTGTGCTCACCTGTCTCAACTTTGGAGTGGTCCATCCGGTCTGTGACTTTCTCTTGACGGATCAGGTAATCTACGATCTGCACTCCAATGGGTGGCTCCGAATGTTCCCACTCCAGGACCACGAGGGTGCTGCTGGGTTCGTGTACCGTGGAAAGTCTCAGCCTGAGGGCACAAAAGAAGGAAGATGAAATGGGGACCCAGCTGGGACCTGTGTCAAGCTTTAACTACCATCTCAATTGCCACAGTACAAACTCTCTCTGAGGACTGGTCTCCCTCACTAGGTGCTGAAGTTCCCGAAGATTTGGGTGCTTTATATTTGCATCTCTTGAATGAACAAATGGGTAAAAGTCTATATAGTACAAGTGTTTGGTAATTGGGCTTTACTGATAGGTCCCTTTTATATAATTGGAAATCTCATTTCTGGCTTTTCTCTTGGGGAATACTAAGCAAACGTTGTGAAATGTGCACTTCAAAGCCCACTGAAAATGGCATTCAAGAGAATCTTGTGTTGACAAAGGCACAGCTAGTTTAAGTTCCATAACCCCCAGGATCTGGCAGGCCCTGCTATGTCTCCTTCTCCAGTCCATGTTCTGACAGAACTTCAGAAAGGCTCAGCTTAGAAGTGAGACTCGAAGGTGAAAGCTGGCCGCATGCCACATTCTCTTTAAGGTGATGTCCCAAGTCTGCTGCTTGGGACCTGAACTCCTGTTTCAATCCCAATTTGTCTCTAGCTTCAGTTCGCAGTCACTTCATTCTTTTCAAGTTGTTTTTTGACTCCTGCTTTGCCCTGCTAATTCACACTTCTCTGCATATTACCGAGAGTCAGCAATCGATGCTGATGCTCACTGGTGTGGATCTCCTGACCATCCGAGAGCTAGCCATTTACTTCCTTGTTCTAACTTCTGTAGATGGCTCATGTTACCTTCGTGCTTCCAATTCCTCTTTTCTCTCCAACAACTAAACTGTGAGGGTTTTCCCAGTTTCTGCTCACTCTAGCTTTCCTCTCTCCCAATATCACTAGCATTCACATACTTCACTGTCCTTGGTCTCTCCATCTCAAAAAATGTCTGGAGCCCTAGCCTTCCCACCTCCTAGCCGGCTTGCAGGTACCCCTCATGGCCTCAAGACCACAGGACGAGAAGAGCAGAGCTGAATCACACCAAACAACCTGCAATGTCCAGTTTCAACGCAACAAATCCATCATCGTGTTCGTTGGTTCTCCAGGGCTATGCAGTGGTACACAAACCCATTCCAGGCCTTCTCTTATGCAATTTAATGAGTATCAGAAACACACAATAATGCATGTGATAAAACTTTAGCATGAAATCAAGGATGCTGTTTGGGGAATAGGAAGCATTTTAGCTAGTAGGAAAATAATAGGAAACACATGGTCATCTTTTAGTGGCTACTATGAAGGAGTGCATAGCTCGCATATGACATTACGATGGAAGAGACCCAAAACAGTGCGGATATTGACAAATTCATTAATTAGAGTCATATGCAGAATGCTATTTTGAAGGGAAAAAACCCATTAGGAAGCTTAAGTTAGTAACTAAGCTTTCTGAGAACTCTGATTCTGTGAAAATAGGAGCTAAGGCCAAGCCCTATTGAGAAATAGGAGTGTGTATGATTTACGTGGATTTATGTAAAAGTAGAATACATTTCTATTTCCAACTGCCAATTAAAGTACAAAAAACTAAGATCTGTTACTGACAGGAAAATTTTTAATAGACGTTTCCCAGGTACAATCCCCAGCTCAGCTTGATCTTTAGTTATCACATTTAATTAATGTGTGTTTATATGCAACCAGCCTTAGACATAGTGGCTGGGTCTTGTGTCCCTCCATTCGATGGTTTCCGTGTTATTGGGTAGCTTCCTTACCTGTTAAATTGGTCTAATAGCACTAGACTCTCTTAGTGGCTCCCTTTCTATCACATGAAATGGCTTTTTACTAATTAGGAACTTGTTTTTATTTTGATTCAGATATCCAAGTTACAGCTACAAGGGGCAAGAAGCCAATGGCTGGAGTATTTAAAGGCACCTTCACAGAGAGTAAATTGGCTTCCACTGATGATCTGTCAGTAAAAATTACCTTCTTCCTCAGTTTTTTCTTCTTCGGGTCTGCTCTGTAATATCTGCCTTTACCTGCAGATCAGAAGGCAGCCTCCATCTGCGGATTTCTGCCTATGGTCCAGTGTTCTTTGTAACTAGTACTCTAGCTGCTGGAGGTCTTGACTCTCACTTTGGGCTTTTCTGAACTTATAAATCCATGAGGTCATGTGCCACCACCCTGTCCTACCAGCACTGTGTGCCTTAAGCACTGTGGAAGACATCTTATTATAGGATAACCTGAATTCCTACACTGTGTCCTGGCTCCTCATCTTGGTCGGTTCTGTTTAAGCTTCCCATGAGGGATTAGGAATGTATGTGTTCATTCTCAGCCACCTCTGGAGTACCTCATGCCACCCTTAAAGACAGACATTTTCTCATGTCCATCCCAGGCCTCTGCATAGTGTATGTTGCTAAGAGAGCACCCATGCTCAGAGCTATGACTCTATCTACCATTTTTCTGAGATTGGTCGAAATCTCATTATTGCTAGGTTTTATTTCCTTTACAGAGATCTACCTGCCTTCCTACCTACTGTACATCTACACAATTATTTCTCAATAGCTGGAGGACAAGCTCAAATGGGATTGGTCTTCTCCTCAACTCTACACACCTCCTAATGGGTCCCTTCTTGGCTATGGTTCATTCTCACAGTAAGCAGTCGTCTTGCCTTGTTGGCTCTACCTACAATCAGTTCAGTTGTGTGCTTTCTTGTACTACAGTTGCTCTCAGCCATGACCTGCTACTTGCTGTCCAATTTTGGAAAAATTCAACCCTCTTGAAGTCATCTCCTGGTCCATTAGTTGGCAGTGGGGTGATAAGAGCGTTTACCTACCCCATGTAGTGCCGAGAACTTACAATGTCTTTGAGACACGGTAGAGTTTGGGGGCTTACTAAGCCCTCACTATAGACCTCTAAATCTCCCACAGCAACCACATGTCTATTTGTATGACTCTCTAACCATGTTGTCTTGCTTTGTCCTCCATATGGAAGGTGTTTAATAGCTATGTGCTCCACAGAGTCTTTACTGTTGCCCAAATGCAGGCTCAAGGAACAGCTATTCACATTTTTAAAATGTGAGCTTTGTCACACAACTTCCATCAAACGGCTAGTGTGCCTGCTCCTTCTAGTCTACCGAAAGTTTCCAGCGGCAGGAACTGTACCACATTCTTCTTTTCAGTCCCCAGCACTCGGGCTATTCCTTGGAGACTAAGGTCTACTTAATTCTATTATTGCCTAATGGTGCTGAGGCATCCATGCAGGAGAGGGGCATGGAGAAGGGACCATACACAGGCTGTGGGAGTGGCGCACAGGTGGGGAGGCCGTCCGCTCCGAAAGCAGCGGAGTCACATCGACACCAATCCTCGATGACATCTCCAGTCCCCGAGCACCAGAGAGAGCTCATGGTGGCCTCCTGTAAGAGCTGAACAGACAAGCAAACAAAACAAAGAGTAAGTGTCAGGAAACCATGGCTAGATGGTCATCACCAAGAGACCTAGCATCAGGGTTCTATGCGGTCCTAAATCACCCCCAGAGATATCACCATTCCTTACCCTGAAACTGCGTTGCAGAAGATGGAATTTAGGATAACCGCAGCCCTGTAGGATATCTGGGGTGTCACTTTCCTGGTAGAGTAATAGCTCATCTCTATAGTTTAGAGTTGTCAGTCACCTTATAAACCAAGGGTGATGACACATGCCTATAATCCCAGCACTTGGAGGCATGAGGATCAGAAGTTAGAGGTCAGCTAGATACAATTTTGAGGCCTGCCCTGGCTAGAAAGCTTGTCTCTAAATAAATACATAAAAAATAAGTTGTAACATGATTAATAAAAACCCAGAGATAGATACTGGGGTTCAACATGAAGATCAGAAAAGAAAAACAGCTAACCACTGGGCTGAACAGTGTTGTAATTGATTTATTTTTGTTTGTGATTATTTGGGTCTGGGTAGCTGGTAGACAAAAGTGCAAACTCCATTTGCAATAAATAAATAAATGAGGTTTTTCACTTTGAAAGTAAGCCAGCTTCCACCCTCTGCCTTGCCCTCTCTACTCTCGTTCACACCTCCTACTGTGGACTCCAGTAACAGGGATGTCTTAGCACACACTTCTGGGAGGCCTGTCTTTGCTATACTTCCCTCTTCTTCCAATGCCTCTCTCTGCACCCTTACCTGCCCTGGTCATCCTGCCCTAGTCCTTCATGGTCTCTCAGCCTGTTTTGTGATCCGACTTGAATACGTATGTGGTCCTGCTTTGAGTTGTGATTAAACAGCAAGCATTTTCCTTAGAGTGTGACTGGGAGAAGCTGAGGAAGAGAAAGGCTAATTTCTGAGCCTACATCAGTCTTCTGGGGATGAGAACCTCAGTTTTGTCAATCATTGCCTGTGACCTTGGACAAGTTACATACACCCAGTTTCCTTGATGATAAAACTATCACTTTCCTAGTAGGGACGTTGTGACAACTAAATGAACAGTCTATTCCAAGTGACATAATATATGCTTCGCACCTGGTACACATTATTGTTTTTGAATGACACAGCTGAGGCTCACATAGAACCTTATATATATATAAAAAAAAAACTACAGTCTTGCATAGCTCTTTACATAAAGTAAGTTCATGGAGATGTTTTGTGAAGAAACAAAACAAAACAAAACAAAACAAAGATGAAATCCGACCCAAGAGGCAGCAGCACTCATGGCAGGGGTAATCTCTGGTGAGAGAGCAAATCCTGAGAGAATGGTGGCCTCTCAGAGGGCTCTGCTCCCTCAACTCAGATAATTCAAGGGTGAAGATTCCAAGTCAGCTGATCTCAGAGCCCAGTCTCTGAGGCACGCCACAGCTTCAGCCTCGGCCTTCTAGTGATTTTCTCCCCTCTGAATCAGTCCCTTTTGTCCACACTGGTAAGTTAGGGGAAGGGGGAACAGCTGTCCTGTGTATTGATAAAACAGACTAAACAATCACAAGGAAAAGAAGTAAGTTGGGGAGGGGAATGGATGGAGAGGGGAAGAAAGGAAAGGGAGAAGGATCTGACTCCATAAATATCTATATAAAGAGTCATTATGTATGTCACATTCTTTCAGAGTTTAACATTGGTTACTTAAGGTTATGAGCTGGACTAAGGGTCACCTGACTTCCTCCCAAGACCGAGAGTCTCTGAGAAGCAGGAAATGATTCCCAAGCACAGTTATGATTTGCATAGTTTCTAATTAATAAGAACCCTTTGGATGCTAACTCTCAGATAGATGGTGCTAATGAATTACAGTGAAGGACACTGGGAGTGAGAGTTAGGTACTTGCTCAGGATCGCAGGCTAGCGTGTGGGGCAGTGCCAGGGACTGAGCTCTGCGTGGCTCACAGAACTTCTTAGGCTCCTTCCATTGTGTACCCTTAATCAGCATTGAGGCCACCAGCAAGTCACTCACCTTGTGCTCTTCTGACTGAAATTCAAACCCAAGGGCGAACTTTTTAAAACTAGGAAAACAGGCTCTTTGAGGAAGACAGAATAAAATAAAGTTGTACCTTCTGTTTGACGGTGTCTTCAGTCAACAACTATTTGATAACCATCTACAAGGGGCCACTTCCTGTGCTAAGCATGAAGGACGCAATGACGCAAAAGAAGGCAACATGGCCCCTCTCTGCATAAATGTTGCAGCCAGATAATAAACAAGCAAAATGAATTCATGTAAATATCCGAATTCCACAATGGTGTGGCGGGATCTCCACGAGAAGGTGGGGGTCCCATGGATGCACACAGCAGCAGGAGGCTGCAAACAAACAGAACCCTTCATTTGGGGGGAAATGGCTGGAGCTGGAGGATAGCATGCGACGGGAAACAAACGAGATGAAAACACAGGTGTGTGGTTTTTTTCATCTATGGAAATGCCAAGAGAAATGGCCTGAAAATCAAAGAGGAAATGCTAAGGAAGGGGAAAGGCACGAGGGAGGAAGAGAAAGGAAGATAGAATGGAGGATGAATGTGGTCTAAGTACAATACAAGCTCGTATGGAAAGGTCACACTGAAACACATGAAACTGTATTTATACAATTAGTGGGTTTATTTTTTTTAAAAAAATTATCTGGCCACAAAAATCATAGTAATATAGGTATAAAATCTAACATTAAGAAGATTGGACCCTTACTGAAACTGGACTCCTAAAGCCAACTAGAAACACCAGTCTGTCTATAAGAGACATAGTTAGGACAAAGAAGTTCTTTTCAAGTGCCCAGGATGTAGGGCTGGATTACAGACAGTTTGTCTGCAAGGAGAGGTTCCATCTCAAGAACAATGACAACTAGTATAATGTTTTAAACATGGAACATGATCTGATTTTTAATATAAAATATGGCAAGGTATACATGATACAATTATTTTAAATGCCAGTTCTTCAGGAGTTTTAACTCTCCACCTTTGGTCGACACCACTCTGTGAGACTCTCCGTGTCTCTGAATTCTGGGGTGCATCGAACTGCAACAGGTTGGATGAAGTGATGTTGTGATTTGGATATGAAATGTTCTGTACTGGCGGCTTGGTCCGAGGTGATGGTACCATTGAGAGGTGAAAAAAGACACTGATTTCATTCGTAGATTAGTATATTGATTGATACCTAACCTAATGATAATGGGGAGTGAGCTCTAATAGGAAGACATAGGTCACCAGGACTTGCGTTTGAAAGTTATATATTAGTCGTGATGTATTCTTCATGAGTTCTTTTTGCTTCCCAGCTAGAGTGAGGTGAGAAGGCTCCCTTGGCACACACACTTACTATCATGATCTTCTACCTCGCCACAGGCCCACAGCTTTGGAGCTGGGCAACCATGGGCTAAATCTGCAGAACTGAGATATTTCTTTCTTTTATGTTGATTATTCCAGTTATTTTGTCACAGTGATGAAAAGTTGACTAATAAACAATAGAAAAGAAGAGTCAAGATGCAACCCCTTGAACTTCCTTGGAAAGGAAGAGAAAGGGACATTCCACTTTATTAAGGACTTGCAATTTGCTAGTCCACGCACTTCCTGGGGAATACATACTTGTTAGCAAATTTAATAGAGTGTAGAAAAATTCAATGTTGGCTACTGTTTTTACTAAGGAAGGAAAGTATGGATTTCAATTCAGGTTTATCAACAGAATATTTCATTCATCTATTCATTGGTTCATTTGTTTATGTAGTAGAGCATCATCCATGTACCAACCCAGGCATTCTGTAGAAGACAAAACATTTTTCATAGTCTAGAGTGAAGTAATAGCCAAACAAGTGTGATCATAGGGGACGCATGCTTTAACATGTGTATACATACAGTGGAAGTTCCATGAAGGGGTCTGAGTTGGACCAGGATCATGAAGGAAGATGAGAGCTAATGATGTTTGAGTTGAAACATGGCATGGTGGCAGGAATTCTCCAGGGGCTTAAATGTGACAGCGTACATTCCTGGGACAGAGACTCAGAGTCTGAATTGCATGAAAGAAAATCTCCTGTGTTTGAGGAGGCCCAAAAGTTAAATTCTGGAGTATATAGTCCTAACAACCTAACCATGCGAGTGAAGATGAATGGCACCATGCTTTGCAATGATGTGCTGAGAACTCGAAATTGCTCTCAATCTGAGGAATCATTAAATTAACTTGATGCAATATGGCCAGAAGTCCATATTGTACAGCAATTCCAGGGGTTTTAATGAAAGGACCAACAAGAAGATTGCTGCAATAAAATGTTTGATTGCAGTGAAGAGTTAGGCTGTGATGGGGGTCTCAGGATGTACCTGTTGCTTATGATGACAGAAAAGATACAAAGGATGACAAGGACTCTTGTGCCAATTAATGAGATGGGAACATAAGTGGTATGGATTTGTGATACAAGGAAATGAGCTAACGTTTGTTGGCTGAACCTATTTTGTTTATCACAAAGATTTTATTGAAGTATGGCATCAGAGGTTATCTAGTCCAACACAGGGACAATAGGCCAAAGGGGATAGATAGAAAATGAACCCACATATTAGAGGGGAAGATGAAAAACCCCACAGAGTCGCCAGTGTCATGCTGAGCCCCTGTCTACCCCCTCCCCAGCTTTTGGAAAGTAAAACTAGGAAGGAAAGACAGAGTTAAAGAGGGGGTGACGAAGGTAGACGGTGCCACAGAAAGAAAAGAGGAAACTCCCCCGATAGTGAGAAAACTCCATCTCAGACCAGCTTGTCAGCATTTAGAAACTGAAGTGTTTAACACAGGGCCAGAGAGACAGGGTCTTCCCACTCCTCTGTGGAAACTGGGGTAGGGAAAATGAGGCCATCGAAGTCAACTTCCTTAGGCGTCCTGGTTTTGATTGACAGCCTGTGTTTGGGGAGTCTTGTGTCCTTTGTGTCTCACTGAGCTCTTCTCTGTCTGTAGCTCTGTGCACCCCAATCCATAGGATGGTCCTGCTTAATCCAGACCTCACTGTACCCAGATTGATGACACAGCATGTATGTGGTCATCAGCCACAGCAACCCAAGGGAGTAGTACATTGTTAGGTGGACAAGGGTAGGGTAGCCACTGTGTTAACACCGGCACACCTTTGGGTGTCCAGTGACTTCAGCACACCTTTGAGTGTCCCTGTCCTCTTTTCTTCAAGTCCCTCTCTCCTGACCCTCTTTCCAAAATCCCATAACCATCTCTTTTAGACTCAGGATAAATCTGTAGGCCAGCAGGAACCATTTGTCTTTTTTTTCCTGTGATAAAAAAACCTGTATTTTCAAACACTCATTGAAATATCTATGGAAGAGGCGGGTAGGTGAGAGAAACACACATGCAAAATCCCTCCTGTGGGTCTGAGCAACACCTATGAAACCAACTGGGACACACCAGGTGTCTCTTCAAAGAGAAAAAAGGAAGCAATTATCACCCCACCTGGATGGGCATCCCTGGCAGTCAGGAAAGCGAGCAGCTCACGGCTGCAGCTCACCCCCCAGCTGCCTTGCAGATAAGCTTGGAAACCTCACTCCTGGAGCCTCTCAATTTCAAGTTTGGCAAGGCCCGTGTCTGTCTGTGTGTTTGCTTACTCTGGCTTGTACATTGGAGGAGGTAAGGGGGCTAAAGAACGAGCTGTCAGTCTCTCTGCACCTCCTATGGGGATACCTGATTCTTAAGGACTCACGCATGTTCTCCTAGGAACAGAGAAGTAAAGACAATAAAGACAGAGAAGGGATGACTGGAAATATCAAGGCCTTCCAGCATGATAAAACATGGAAAGATGGGAAGGAATGTGGTGTTTCGTCCTGAAAGTCTGTGATGATGATTGGGGTACCGGATCCTTCCAGTTTGAGACTGTTAGATCCTTCCTTCATCTGGGATGTGTACCTGACATGGCCCTTCTATTGTAGGTGCAGTGGGTGCAGTGGGTGCAGTGGCTGGGAGATCAGTTACAAGAGCCCATGCATCTCCTCCAGGGGCAGACAGAGATGGTTATCCTCTTAACCATGCCCCCTTGGGAAAGGGTATCACAATGAGTTTGGTGATTGCCAATCATGTACCTTTCCTACTCCTTCCCATCTTCCCATCTTCTTTGCTCGGTTCTGACTCCTGAATCACATTACCATGGGTATACCGGAATGTATTACTTGATTTGACTTAATATGCAAGCATGCAAATCTAGGTGCCCCTCTTAGCTTAATAAAAAGATGTTCCACTCTCAGTTGTGGTGTGGAGCAAGTTCTGTTTTCGTTACCTTCCAGAGCCAAGTGTCTCAGCCCTCTTACCCTCTGGGTCTGGTTATTGGTCACCAGTTCATAGATGGGGGATGCTCTGGTCACTTCAAGCAGGACTGGCTCGGCAGGGGTTTCAAGGCTGGACGTCACATGACACAAAGGACAAGATGAGGGACATCGTCCCTTGCTCTGGCACTCCATTCGGACTCCAGCTGCCATACGCTTGGTGCCAGAGTCTGACAGGCTAGTGATGTATTCTGGGAATGTCAGCACCTTGGGCTCCCTTTCCCGCTCCTCCGACTCATCAGATGGGGAGTTGCCTGCCAGACACAAAAGAAAAAGAACAGTGAGGGAGGCAAGATAGCAGGGACGACCGTGACTCGGTGGCTCCTGAGTTCTGAGGTCTAACACTGAGAAGTTAGAAAGCGCCACTGAGAAAGTCAAATTGTGATTTTTGTCATTCCACTTAGTTAGGGGCACAGATCTTCCCAGTGACACACAGAGTTGGAAATGGCCTTTCAAGAATGAGAATGGGTGGTTGCTTTTCTGAGAATCATTGGCTCCACTGGTCCACCCAGAGGGATATGTCTGTGGTACATCATCCATTGCCAAGAATTCAGATGACAACAACGTGACCGTTCTTGGCTTCCTTCATACCACCTTCCTCTACCATTATTAAATGAATGAATGACAAAATGTTTTGGAAACACACCTATGGTTTCCAACATACATGAAGCTCCCATCATTGGTCATAATTCCAGCTGAAATTTGTGGATTCTTCCTATGATATTGGGGTTGATCTAAGGTCTCATTTGACCATGACATTAGCATCACAGACAGCCTAATTATACCCATTTCTACATATCAGGAAATGACAGTATCATCAAGGTCACAAACACCTTTGTGAGATTTGGCATTCGACCCCAAGAGTGTCTCCATCCAAAGTGTTTAGGTCACAGAGCAAAGTCAGCATTTATCAGCTGTCTAACTAGCCCCATGTGTTGATCATGCAGAGGGAAGTTTGGCTTTTTCCAAATGATTTTCACCGTTGTTTGCCGCATAGCCGTTAGCTACACAGGCTCTTGATCTATTTTTGGTCACAAACATGAAAAATGCCTACTAGAGAATAATTGTTTGTTCCCCACACACGAAAGCCCCATTTGCTCTTTGTTCCTTCAGTCCCCATGATCACCCATTTAACCCATTATCTGTAAAGGAGCCTGTGGACAGAACCCTCCAGATTTCTTAAGCTATTTCTGACAGTTGGTGTCCCAAGCAGGAAATGATTTTGGAGAGACCGCTGTGCCTTTGGATATGGTGGGGACACACAGAATGTTCTGGTTTCCTGTGGGTGCATTAAGAATGTCATACTTGATGGGACCCAGGGTGAACTGGTTGAAAGGCTTTGCAAAGCAGTCCCGGAGGTGATTTGGAGCTATGAGTCATTGGCTTAGAAGAGCAAATGTTCTCCCCTCCTGGTGTAGGGGGCTCCCCCATCCTATCTCTTGCTTGCTGTGTAACATGGACCCATATGGGGACATGGCGGGGTTCCCAATGCTCTTGGTTCCCAAATGAATTCCATCACTGTGTGGATGAGACACTTTTAACATGGAACTCCACCTATTTAACATTTGCATTTCACTGAATCATAGATCCAGGATTGAGCTCCAGTTCCTCCTGGATTGCAGAAAAACTGGACAACTGTACACACAGCAAAAGTCAAGGATAATGACATCGCCTAGAGCCTAGACTAACCAACACCAAATCACTTCACCTACAGGTTCACCTTTATAAATGTTTTGGCTTCTGAATCTCAGTCTTGGTTCCACACTTTGTCTTAGGCTGAGAAAGTATTACGATGAGTATCCAAAGGGCCACAGACTAGCCAAAATCTGACCTCCTGTCTTTTTCAGACTGCAGAATGACTAGGTCAAAGAAAGCGGAGGTGGAATAAGGTCTTTGGGTATAACTTGATGTCTATGAAAAGTCTTTAGGATGCGGGAAACCTTTCCATCTTTGGTTTTTAATCACATCATCATCGGAAGCATTTCCCTACCAAGCCACAACCCTGAGAATCCATTCTGTACGCCTGGAAATCTACAATATGGCCACTAGAGGGCGGTAGCGGATCTAAAATGATTACCTTCTGTGCTGTGAGACCGCATCTGGAAAAATTAATATTCAGAACCCTAAGTAAGGTGTAGGTATCTCAAGAGTTTTGTGGCTTCTTTTCCTAACACACAATAAAAAAACTAAGAAGTAAAACAATTACAAATTATATACGTTATAGCTTAAGGAGAAAAATAAGAAAAACGGGTGATAATGACAGGACAATTGAAAGAAAACTCATAAGAGACCATTTTTAAAAAGAAACTTCTCTCAAAAGCTTTACGTTTGAGTAAAAGATATTTCAAAGGAAGAAAGCAACCTTTCTTTTCTCCTTGGAACGAACTTTCCTGGGTTACTAACCAGATGAATTGTACTGAAGAAACCACCAGGGGGCACTGTAACACGCGTGCCCTGTATGGAGTTAACTTCCTTGCCCTCTAGCTCGCCATCATTAAAGCTTGTAAATGCTGTAAACATGAGGGGCCGCTCCCCTTGCTGCTGTCTTCTGGCAATGCCAATTAAAATCAAGATGCAATTAATCCCTGTCAATATCTATTCACCTTACAAACTTACAAGATTAAAGACTACAGAACAATGGCTGAGAAAAGGATGTAGGAAAAGATGATAGGTACCATCAATGCTCTTTTCGCTTCTTTCTTCAGGACCTTATTCTCCATCTATCCCCTCCCAAATCAGGTTCACATGCAAGGTTCCTGCTAGAAGCCAAGGCCAGTGTGTCTTGCTGGCCCTGTGCTCACATGAGATGAAGCTGTCTAGAGAGAGGCTGGATTTACACAGAAGCAATGAATAGTGAGTTCCCAAAAGCCATCTATCCAGCCTCCAGCCAAGAATAGACATGTGTGTGAGGGAGATTTTTCACAGAGGAAATGCATTTTCTATGTGCAGTTAAAGATACAATTGGGAAATACTTCTTAAAATGATGGAGTCCATTGGAGAAAGGCCACATAAATCTCCCTTACCCCAAAGAGAGTGCCACCATTGACTGCAAACGAATGAATAGTTCAGATCCTAAGCTCTTCAGGAGAGTCTGCTCTTTGTTGGTGGGAAGGTGGGAAGAAGGAAAGCCACTTTATTTCCTATGACCCAGTGGTCCCCTCTTCCTATTGGCCACTCCTATTACAGTCTTTGACAATTTTCTCCATTCTCTGGCACCTAGGTAGAGACACTCCTGGAATCTGAAGCACTATGAAGCTTCTTAGGAAAAGAAGTATCTACTTCAGTAAACACTCGGTCTTTGAACAAAAGAAACAATCTACAGTTAAGGTCTTGGGAGATGCTGGTTGGCAAGTGTGCCCTCTGACCAAGAGTACCTGGGTGGGCTCTCACCACAGGGAAGGTCCTCGTGTTCGACTGTGACACTGAGCTCTCTTACAAGTAGAGGAATATTCAACCTGGAATGTAGTTAACAACCTCAAACTGCAAAGCATTTTGCAAATACAGTTTGCTATAAATAAGTGCCATTTGCTTTAGGCTAAATCTGTATCCTCCAGCACACAGTGGATGAGTTTCCCCAATAGAATACCATGGCATGAGAATATTGGCATCCTTAATGCTCAGAACCACACCGTGTATGCGCCCATGGCCTTAGGCATGTACATAGCGACCCACCTAAATTTGGGGAGACATTAGGACGATGAAAGTGACCAACCCATTCTTAGGCAGGGTGCGCGCTGCTTGTGTGAGCTGACAGGTCGCGAAGGTGAATTGCTTGTTATGAAGTAAATTGGTACAATTCCTGTAGGATCCCGAGGACTGCTTAAGAATCTCTCTCCTGAGTTGGTGCCCAAGGCAATGAGATGCTGATGACAGCACAGTCAGAACTACACAGGCAGTTCATTAGGCGCTAAAGAAATCAAATGCAAACTAATTGGATCACAGCTTCGGGGGAGAGCATGGGATGCACAGGAAGAAGGTTGACGTGGGCAAGCAAAGCACAGCTCAGCAAGATGCACTGGAAGTCCGCTCGCATACAGCCAGTGTGCCAGAGCCCACCCCAGCCTTCACCCCATCTACTGCGAGAGCCGTGATTCCAGGTCCTCTGATGCACATCTCCCTCATCTCATGCCTTCCAAGTAGAGGAATCCAACCTGCAATGCCATTCACAATCCTAAAACAGGCTCCTCGGGGTTAGAACTGAACCGCCAGTCACACCATGATCACACATTCTCCGGGACTCAAATCTTAACTAGGGGACGGGAGGTAGAGCATACACTGAGCACTTCTGACTATGCCAGAGGAGACGTAGTAGTGCCCCGTAGTCAGAAAATATGTCTTTTTCACCTCTGAAGTTCGTTTGTCTGGTTTAACCTATCATCTGTATCTGCACGTGCATCTACCTGTATCTCGATCTACCACCAGTATTCACATCCATATCTGCATCCCGAGGTAATTATCCTACACTCCAAGCCTAGTTGTGAATGGCTATGAAATGTCAAGCTTAAAGACTAGAAGCAAAGCCTTTGCCAAACAGCTCTCCTGTCCCTTGCTAAGTTCCCCGAGAACCAAGTAGAAAATGCAAGCAAGGCATTACTGGGGGAGCAATTGACTCTGTGACTCCAGCCAAGGTCTCTCCCATAAGTAACAAAGCCTTACATGCCTGTTAGAATGTCCGCTTATACACATCACATGACAGGGTTCTCCTAATTGTGGTCACCATCTCCTCCACACTCTCTTGGCAGCCTCGTTCTTCTCTTGAACATCTCAGCTCAACAGCAAGCACAGCTCATCCCCCAGCCATTGAAACACTGTCCCTCCCACCCCTGCTTCCCTCCCTTGCTCCTTCTCAATCTTCCCAAACATTCATTTAATATTAAATTGCTTTATCTTTGCAACCCATATCCTTTCCTCCATGTTCAATACCGAAAAGGGAATTGACAGTCTAAAACCTTACTCTTTAGATTGCCTAGGTTGGGTTTCTACTTTATCTCATATCAGCTGTCTGATTGAGGACAGGTTTCAAAGCCTTCTAGAGTCAAGATTTTCTTGTGTATAAAGTAGAAATGTCCAGACTGATTGATTCTTCACCAACAAACCTACACTATAACTTAGCATGGTGACCCATGCTTGTAAACCCAGCCCTTTGAAGGCAGAGGCAGGATGATCAGAAGTTCAGGGTCATCCTTGGCTATGTGATGACTTCAAGAATCTGTTTCAAAACACAAAAACCAAATGAATCGGCAACTCACAAAGC